AACTCTTCGCGAGAGCGAGTCGTTGCATACGCCAGCCGCGTCCTCTCCGCAGCCGAGAGGAACTACACGATAACCGAGCAGGAGTGCCTCGCCATCGTTTGGTCAGTACAGAAATTTCGTCCATATCTGCATGGCCGCCATTTCACCATTGTGACCGACCACCATGCTTTATGTTGGCTTTCGACACTCAAGAACTTGTCGGGACGCCTCGGACGCTGGATTCTACGCCTCCAAGAATATGATTTTGAGATCGTGTACAAGTGTGGCAGGAAGCATAGTGACGCCGACGCTCTTTCTCGCTGCCCACTACCAGCGACTCCACTCGGGGTTTCCGCCATCGATTTGCACAACACGCCCTCGGAGTCCACGTCTACGGCGGTTTCCTCTCTCGCCTCTATGAACCAGCTGCCTTCGGACGACCCGCACGATTTTCCTTCTCGACAGTTGGCTGACCCATACTGTCGACGTATTATAGACTACCTCACTGGCAGTTCCCGTCCACCTAATGCAAGGCTCCGTCGCCAACTCTCGCAATTTAAACTGGACAACTCGGTGCTGTACCGCAAAATTTACCATCCTGACGGTCAGCGCTGGGTTCCCGTTCTACCCCGATCACTTCGGTCTGAAGTCCTCAGGGCACTTCATGACCATCCAACTGCTGGTCACCTTGGTTACCATAAAACCTACGATCGCCTTCGAAGTCGGTTTTATTGGCCAGGCATTACCACTAGTGTAGCTCGGTACGTCGGGTCCTGCACTACCTGCCAATGTAGAAAACTACCAACATCTGCTCCCGCCGGTAAACTACAGCCTCTTCCGTGCCCAGCCACACCATTCGAAGTTGTAGGCGTCGATCTTTATGGCCCCCTCCCAGTCAGTGCTGCTGGAAACCGGTGGATAGTAACAGCCATTGACCATTTGACGCGCTACGCCGAGACGGCATCCGTTACTACAGGCTTCAGCTTCTGAGATTGCCGATTTCATCCTCCGAGCCATTATACTGCGTCATGGTGCTCCACGTGTGTTGCTCAGTGACCGTGGAAGGGCCTTTCTTTCACAACTAGTGAACGAACTTCTTCAGGCCTCCGGCACAACTCACAAGACTGCCTCTAGTTATCATCCCCAGACTAACGGCCTCACTGAGCGATTCCACCGCACTCTTGCTGACATGATCGCCGCCTATATTCAACCAGACCACAAAAACTGGGACGTTGTTCTACCATTCGTCACTTTCGCCTACAATACGGCCATTCAGCGAACAACCGGCTATCGCCATTTTACCTAGTTTATGGACGCTCCCCTACTTCTTTCCTGGACGTCTCCTTCTTTACCTGCCAAGCGAATTCATCTCCATCCTCTTCAGAGGAATACGTTTCACGACTCGCACAGTGCCGCCAACGAGCTCGTATAAACACTGAAGCCCGCCAACAAGACAGAAAGCTACTTGAATCGCATCGTGATGAATCGCATCGTGATGTATCCTTCCAACCTGGAGACGAAGTGCTCCTTTTGACGCCTGTTCGCACACCTGGTTTGTGCGACAAATTTCAGCCTCGGTTTATTGGGCCGTACACCGTTCTTGAAGAGACTTCACCAGTGAATTATCGCGTGACACCACTTGTAGCCCCAGCAGATCGCCGTTATCGAACTACAGAGGTCGTCCATGTCTCCCGTATGAAGCCCTTCATGCGACGTTCTTTGTCCCCTTGACTTGCCGCGGCCAGGCTGGCCGCTTTCACGTGGGGGGAATTGATGTGGGCATTTAGTATACGCATCCTCTTCACCGGTACATTATCATCATTATCATGTGTGGCTCATGCATCCTCATCGTTGTCGCGTAGCATCATCATCTTGGCTCATTCATCGTAGCTGTCGGCTGCCAGTTCCTCGGGCCTAATAAAAGGTAATCCAGACCAAGACTTCATAAGATATATATATATATATATATATATATATATATATATATATATATATATATATATATATATATATATAGAACTTGAAGGGAAGGCACGACAGGTCCAGGTATTTTCTATATTGAATTAACTTGCAGATAGCACATAAGAAAAGAATCGTATTTACTAACGTTTCGGCCGTGGCACGGCCTTCGTCAGAGTAAGTAGGTATGATACAATGCAGCCGCTTTTATAGGCTCACGTGATGAACTCTCGGTATAGCAGCTAGGACAATCAAAGTAAAAAATGGTAATCTGTCAGAACCTTGTGTTGACATGACTGACATGTGACGGGTGCATGAATATACAAGTTTCAAATTTCCTTGCGCATCGACACGTGGGGCACAGTATGGTTGGCAGGACATGTAAAAGAGCTCAGAAGTAAAGAAACCACAGTTGACTAATATACAATTTAATATACACTAAAATATTTTACTAATCTAAGAAGTCGTGTTGTGATAGTGCGAGGAGGGTGAGCTTTCCTACGTTTTCATTGATACCTGAACGAATGGTGTTAAATTTGTGGATCAAGAAGGATTCCCTCACTTCCCTATCGTGATTTGTCTTGAAACCGGACTGAATAATAGTGGCCCTAATTTTGTCGAAAGCATGGCCAGGCATACTGACGTGTTTCGACAGCGGTAGATTAGGGAGGCTTACGGCATGTGCACGGTGATTATTAAAACGAATTCTGAAACTTGTCTCTGTTTGACCTATGTACTGAGCACCGCATGTTGAACACTCGAGAAGATAGATGACGTTGATACTATCACACGTGTAGTTCCCATTTATCTTTAAAGAAAAACTGGACGATGTACTTGAAACTGTTTTAGATGTCGTCATGTGTGCGCACACTTTGCAACGTGGTTTGTTGCAGGGATGACAGCCTTCATGATGTGAACACGTGGTTTTAGATGAGGTTAGTAAATCACGAAGGTTCCGCGATCGTCGGTAGACCACGCGTGGTTGTTCTGTAAAGATTCCTTTCAGCCGCTCGCTCTGTATTAAAATGTTAAAATGTTTTTTTAAGATATGGTTCACACTTGGAGCTGAGGCCGCATGTGTCAAAATTAGATTAGTCCGCGAACAATCTTTGGGTCTTTTGTTAGTACTCAGCAGGTCTGAACGGTCAAGCTCTTCACGAACGGTCAAGCTTAAAGAAACATTTTAACATTTTAATACAGAGCGAGCGGCTGAAAGGAATCTTTACAGAACAACCACGCGTGGTCTACCGACGATCGCGGAACCTTCGTGATTTACTAACCTCATCTAAAACCACGTGTTCACATCATGAAGGCTGTCATCCCTGCAACAAACCACGTTGCAAAGTGTGCGCGCACATGACGACATCTAAAACAGTTTCAAGTACATCGTCCAGTTTTTCTTTAAAGATACATGGGAACTACACGTGTGATAGTATCAACGTCATCTATCTTCTCGAGTGCTCAACATGCGGTGCTCAGTACATAGGTCAAACAGAGACAAGTTTCAGAATTTGTTTTAATAATCACCGTGCACATGCCGTAAGCCTCCCTAATCTACCGTTGTCGAAACACGTCAGTATGCCTGGCCATGGTTTCGACAAAATTAGGGCCAGTATTATTCAGTCCGGTTTCAAGACAAATCACCATAGGGAAGTGAGGGAATCCTTCTTGATCCACAAATTTAACACCATTCGTTCAGGTATCAATGAAAACGTAAGAAAGCTCACCTGCCTCGCACTATCACAACACGACTTCTTAGATTAGTAAAATATTTTAGTGTATATTAAATTGTATATTAGTCAACCGTGGTTTCTTTACTTCTGAGCTCTTTTACATGTCCTGCCAACCATACTGTGCCCCACGTGTCGATGCGCAAGGAAATTTGAAACTTGTATATTCATGCACCCGTCACATGTCAGTCATGTCAACACAAGGTTCTGGCAGATTACCATTTTTTACTTTGATTGTCCTAGCTGCTATACCGAGAGTTCATCACGTGAGCCTATAAAAGCGGCTGCATTGTATCATACCTACTTACTCTGACGAAGGCCGTGCCACGGCCGAAACGTTAGTAAATACGATCCTTTTCTTATGTGCTATCTGCAAGTTAATTCAATATATATATATATATATATATATATATATATATATATATATATATATATATATATATATATATATATATATAGATATATATATATAATTAGCGAGGTTTCACGTGCAAAAAAAAAAACGATATGATATTGAGCCACGCTGAATATCAGACGGCTTCGAAAGTATAGTCCACTTGGGGCCTTCTGATGTACACCTGAATATGATTACGCAAGTATTAATCATTTTCGCTTCGATAAAAAATGCGACCTCCGTGGCAAGGATTGAATTCGTGACCTTCTGTTCAGCATCAGAGCCCCGCAACCACTGAGCCAACGTGGTCGCTTGGGAGATAGGGAGAGAGGTAAACAAACAAACACTCACTCATTCTATCTCTCTTCGTCTCTCACAGTTTTACTCGAAGAAACTTCACGAGATGATTGATTGATTTGTGGGGTTTAACGTCCCAAAACCACCATATGATTATGAGAGGCGCCGTAGTGGGGGGCTCCGGAAATTTTGACCACCTGGGGTTCTTTAACGTGCACCCAAATCTGAGCACACGGGCCTACAACATTTCCACCTCCATCGGAAATGCAGCCGCCGCAGCCGGGATTTGAACCCGCGACCTGCGGGTCAGCAGCCAAGTACCTTAGCCACTAGACCACCACGGCGGGGCAGAAACTTCACGAGAGTCTTCGTCACTTTCTGAATAGTAGTTCAAACTTTCCGGCGTTGTAAGGTTGCTTGCATGAAAGCGGCTGTTCTAAAGGTGTGAAAACATATTTCTAAGGGACCAGGATGCATATCCCAGACGCACAACGTCTTAAAAAGCATAATACTTGTTTTTTGTTTTGTTTTTGTTTTTTTGCTACAAGTTAACGTTACAGTGACGTAGCACCGAAGAGCGTAATCGCCACACTTGAATTTTCAGTATAAGTCAATAAATGTACAACTTTCGCATAACTTACGAACTGGTACAGCTTATTCAATATGTCGTCATTCATTAGCCAGTCAGGATATCCAATGACGAAAGTCAGTTCTTTAAGCTGCAAGCAAAAAAAAAAAAACATCAATGTTCTCTAGCACTAGGGTAAATATGGCTTCATGTTGTAAAAAATATTCTAATATATCAGAGCCCGTCACAATATTGTTATCCAATTTATTTATTTAATTTGCATACACAGGTACACAAGGACACAGAAGAAAGAGGGAGATAGCAAGCTGGCAACTGCCACCTGGAGGGGCACAGGGCCTGCTCACTTTTTCGGGAGGAGGGAAGAGACAGAGAAAAGGAAGATAGGAGGGCATAAAGGAAAAGAAGAGAGGGAATTAAAGAAAAAATGACGAAGACTTTGACAAGTATTAGTCAAAAATTTTTAAAATCCTACTATAATTGGACGGCCAGGCACACAACACAATCAGAAATTCTTCCCCTGCACAAGCGCAAAAGCGGTTTTATGAAAACAAAACGAAAGATTGCCGCATTCAGCGATGATTGTAGAATTTTACTGGCTTCAAAAATCACATGCGTAATTTTTTTTTCTTGTGGGCTTATAGACTTTTCCGAAAGTAGCAAACTTGCTGCAGAAACAGCATCAGCTAAAACTGCACTGGACGACGCATTGAGCAAATGCAGAATAAGTTGTTTTCTTTTTTTTCGAAGATAATTACTAGGATGCTCGTCATACGCGAAGCATAACATAAAGTGTAGATTAACATTTGCACATTGCCCTATTATCATAACTGCCGTGAGAAAATATTCCGACTCGGCTTCTGTGTGCGCGCGCGTAGGCGTGCATGCATTCGTTTCGATAGAGGCAAGCCGATTGTTCACGCTTCTCTTGCGGCTGTTCTAAGCATACGACATACCAGACTATATGAACTACAAATGTGGCCTCCGCCTGGCCTACATCGACGTGAGGCCTCGCTTTTCTATCGTCTTTCACTGGGAGTTGTTTTCACGAAAGCATATACCTCGTTAATCGGAATGACTGACAGGGCGGCATGCAATGTTTGCGGCACCGATGAAAATATCGTACACCTGCTGTGTCACTGTTCTCTATTTGCCTTCGAGAGACAAGTACTTGCCAGCGCATTGCGGTGACTGGATGGTCGCCCCCTTCCTGTGCAGGTGCTATAACAGCACCTATAACAGCATCGCTATAACAGCATCGACAGCCCACAATGCAGCGAAAGCCCTCTTGTGTTTTTTGAGGACGATGGGTTTGTGTGAACACATCGGACTTGCGGTGGAGCTCTACACGCTGCAGTGAATTTACTGTGTGTGTCTCCCTTTTCCTTCTCTTCATTCTTTCCCGCCTTTCTTGTCCCTTTTCCTAATCCCCCAGTGTAGGGTAGCCAACCGGATGTCTTTCTGGTTAACCTCCCTGCTTTCCTTCCTTCTACGCAATCGTAGGTATTTGTTAGCGTGAGTACTGTGTAATATTTGCTTGCACTGTTATTTTCAGTGGTATTATAAATGTATGTCTTAATTTGTGGCCTGTGATACCATCAGTTTCTTTGAACGTGCAAGAAAATCATTGCCCCTGCACAGATGCATGAGTAGGGCAGATGATCCGGCCTGTGCACAAACACAGGGTGCCTAAGCCAACGGTAACCAGAGTTTAAAATATCCCAACGTAGTCTAAACAACGCTCAATTGTTTCACTGAGGAAGATTATTAACACACGAACTAAGTGGGGAAAATATCAGTTATAAATTCGTCGAACGGTTTTCAAAACACCCGATTAGATAGTGTGTAACTGTCTATCCAAAAGTGTTACTACTTGTCTATTTACTACATATACCCAGAGACATGCCCGCTCTCCCTGCCTCTTCCTTCCCCGAAATTTGAATTGAGTGGGTGTTTCACCGAGAAGATATTGTAAAATACAGTGCTTTGCAAGGCCTTCAACAAGTGCCCTTGTCCCCCTTGCCCCAACCAAAAAATAAAATAAAATAAATTCCTGGCTATGGGCCTGCTGCTCTAATTGTCATTATTCAGTTGTTATCCACCGACCATTCTCGCTTATTTACTTAGGTGTAGTTACCCGTAGGAAGATAAATAAATTCCCTTATTCTTCAAGTTTTCAGGGCTACCTTGAGCTTGAGCGTTTTAACTGATCTAAAAAAAGCGCACCGGGTGGTTTAATGAGCGAAGTGCTAAGCGACATCATTTGTCAATGAAACCAGAATACATTAAGTATGCATACCGCTTTCTCTTCGTGCACTGACTTCGTTGACTATATGCATGGATGCAAGATAGAGCAGTCGCAAAGTAGGTGTTCGGAAAGGTTTCCAAGTCTGTATTGAGACGGTACGCTCTCTCTCTCTCTTTTTATTTTTTTACTGCGCTTCAAAATTGCATAGTTGAACTTGCGTTCACGTGAGAATCCAGAGTAACTCGCTCCATTGATCGTTTTTTTTTTTTGCCTATCTTGCCTATTACATGCGTAGTTTTTGCGCTGTCTTTACCATGCATCACCAACTCACCCACAAATATACCTGAATTCCGCAGTATACGTAGGCTTAATTACCACATGAGAAATACAGTTTCGAATACTTAGTATTTGCATGTAGGGGCCCGTTTTTCTGACACACTTTCATATTAGATTTTTAACAATGTCGTCGATTCCCCCTACCCCTCTCTCTTTTTTTTTTACAGGAGGCGATCAATATTTCAAAGCGAAGATTGCGCACTATTTCAAAACACACACACGCAAGACAACTCTGTCACAGCTGAACGTTTCTGCTCGCAAGTCTTGCGATGCTTCTGGTGACTGGCAGAAAACTTTGTTCTAACACTCGACAGTTTGGAGCCCCCACTCTCAGCTATTTCCGCACACGCAACTTAATTGCAAAGACGCAATTCGGTCAGCATAGATGATGGAAGAGCTTTAGCTTCAACTCTTTACCTTTTGTATTCCACAATGTTCACCATTGCTTAGATTTGTATCGTGGTTCCTATAAAGATAATAGGTCAAAAATTTTGCTACCAGCGCTAGTTTTCCTACCAGCACTAATGCCCAATATTTCGCTTAGCGTCAGCTTTTTAAGCTCTACCTGATAATACGCTAGCGTTTTTGTTCTGCAGCATTAATCTGTGGTCGTTTACTACAAAGAAAAATGCAATTTCCACCCAGAAACATGTATCAACATTCCACGCGAGAGGAATTCACATATACGTTCCTTCTAAGTAGGTTGGCTGCGTATGCAATGTCACGTGGTTGTGCGTGCTTACAATAGTCCGATTTCGCCACTTAGATGTTGTTTTGTCGTCGGTTCTACGCCGACAATATAAGCGTTCCAATAAAATTTCTTCAACATACTGACATCAGTGTACATCTGAACAAAAGTTCAGTCAATAGCGACAAACTTTTCTTTTTCAATATACGTAGTATTATTTACATTACACAGAGCAAGTAATAGCCTTTCGAACTAAAACCAGCGAGTACGACTCTTGTACACAGCTGAAGGACCTACACTGTAGCTGGCCAAGTAAGATTACCTAAAAAATATAATAAAACATTATGCTCTGTCTGCTGCATCTGAGTACCACAGGTTACCAAATTGATTAAAAAATAATAGGACATAATATATCGAATAAATTCTTGATAGAAAAAATAAAATAAAAGGGCAAGTATCACCGCCAGCGGAGCGATAACTGAAAGAGCGGCCTGGCAAAAGTGGGGCCTTCATTATGTTGTCTTATGTATAGATAGTTTATCTTGCAGGCTTTATAGAGTCTTACCAGAAGTCCACAAGTGCTGACAGTGAGATCCTACCTACTTCGCAGCCTTCATCTGCGCTTCAACCGAATGACAGCTTTTTTTTTATTAATATACGGTTTTCTCCCCCCTACCCAGGCCATCACATTTGATGCTTAATTTGAGGGCCTGGGCAGGGGTGAGGAAACTATATATAAAAAAAGAAGCTGTCGTACGGATGAAGCACAAATGAAGACTTCGAAGTATGATCTCACTGTAAGCACTTGTGGACTTCTGGCAAGATTCTATCAAGGCTGCAAAAAAAGCGAAGAACAACACGAGAGGAAAACAAGAAGAATCAATGTTGGTAAGTTTTGTGGGCAGGCCTTATATACAATATTCTGTTGTAACCAGACGTACATATATGTTTATTAAAATCATGCTACCAGAACATATTTGCTAAGAGAAGCTTTAACGTCATAGACCTGCATAAATGGGGCCATATATAGAAAACAGAATGCGGAAAAACAAGAGTACCACATGATCATGAAAAGCCCACACTAAATGTTTTGCAAGACGTCAGGATTGGCTCAGCGGGACTAGAGTGAATTTGACTATAAAACATGCAAATTTCATGCTCCTACACGTTGGAGAGCCTTCTTTTTTATATCTTGAGACATCCACTTGTTATTTTGAATGATATACTGGAACGTGACATTCACATAGTTCTTTATCTTCATTACCTGTGAAGTAAAAAGAAAATAAATGAAAAAAAAATATTCCAAGAATGTCGAATGTTTCGGCTGTTTAAGTACTCACTTCCTCCTTTGACTCCTTGTCGAACTTAGCTTTAATGTAATAAGATGCTGCTTCACTGTACATTACATCACGCTGCAGCAGCTGACGCATGCACAGGGTCTTCTCGTCTTTATTTCTCGGAGCGATCCCAGAAACAATGGTCTTATTTTTGTATTCCAAGTAAAATTCGTGTAGTTTTGTTCCTTCCGCCTCCGCCATTCGTCTGATCAGCACCCAGCCTATGTAATTTTTCATATCATTTCTAAGAAATAAAAGGGATAGTACATGGCGTTAGTTACAGAATAGTGGGCATAAAATTTTATTAGATTCTTGACGATAGTATTTACCTTTACAGAAAGATAAAGTAATAGAGTGGAAGTAATACAAGGGACGAAAGAAGAATGGACACTGACAAGCGCTTATTTCAATTGAGCTTTATGTGAAACGAGAGATGTATACATTTGGGCTGTGATTGCAGTGGCTAACAGAAAGAGTGAAAGCTGACATGGGTCAATCACGCATCAATAGAACGAACCACTCGT